AGTTTGTCACTGTTGGTGGCTTGTTTTACTGAGTACACCCTTACAAGTTTGTCACTGTTGGTGGCTTGTTTTACTGAGTACACCCTTACAGGTTTGTCACTGTTGGTGGCTTGTTTTACTGAGTACACCCTTACAAGTTTGTCACTGTTGGTGTGAGCTTACAAGTTTTACTGAGTACTTGTTTTACTGACCCTTACAAGTTTGTCACTGTTGGTGGCTTGTTTTACTGAGTACACCCTTACAGGTTTGTCACTGTTGGTGGCTTGTTTCACTGAGTACACCCTTACAAGTTTGTCACTGTTGGTGGCTTGTTTCACTGTCACTGTTGGTGGCTTGTTTCACTGAGTACACCCTTACAGGTTTGTCACTGTTGGTGGCTTGTTTTACTGAGTACACCCTTACAAGTTTGTCACTGTTGGTGGCTTGTTTTACTGAGTACACCCTTACAGGTTTGTCACTGTTGGTGGCTTGTTTTACTGAGTACACCCTTACAGGTTTGTCACTGTTGGTGGCTTGTTTTACTGAGTACACCCTTACAGGTTTGTCACTGTTGGTGGCTTGTTTTACTGAGTACACCCTTACAAGTTTCTCACTGTTGGTGGCTTGTTTTACTGAGTACACCCTTACAAGTTTGTCACTGTTGGTGGCTTGTTTTACTGAGTACACCCTTACAAGTTTGTCACTGTTGGTGGCTTGTTTCACTGAGTACACCCTTACAAGTTTGTCACTGTTGGTGACACTGTTGGTGGCTTGTTTTACTGAGTACACCCTTACAGGTTTGTCACTGTTGGTGGCTTGTTTTACTGAGTACACCCTTACAGGTTTGTCACTGTTGGTGGCTTGTTTCACTGAGTACACCCTTACAGGTTTGTCACTGTTGGTGGCTTGTTTCACTGAGTACACCCTTACAGGTTTGTCACTGTTGGTGGCTTGTTTTACTGAAGTACACCCTTACAAGTTTGTCACTGTTGGTGGCTTGTTTTACTGAGTACACCCTTACAAGTTTGTCACTGTTGGTGGCTTGTTTCACTGAGTACACCCTTACAGGTTTGTCACTGTTGGTGGCTTGTTTCACTGAGTACACCCTTACAGGTTTGTCACTGTTGGTGGCTTGTTTCACTGAGTACACCTTTTGTCAGGTTGGTTTTTCACTCACTGTTGGTGGCTTGTTTCACTGAGTACACCCTTACAGGTTTGTCACTGTTGGTGGCTTGTTTCACTGAAGTAACCTTCTCAGGTTTTTCACTGTTGGTGGCTTGTTTTACTGAGTACACCCTTACAAGTTTGTCACTGTTGGTGGCTTGTTTTACTGAGTACACCCTTACAAGTTTCTCACTGTTGGTGGCTTGTTTCACTGAAGTAACCTTCTCAGGTTTTTCACTGTTGGTGGCTTGTTTCACTGAAGTAACCTTCTCAGGTTTGTCACTGCTGGTGGCTTGTTTTACTGAAGTAACCTTCTCAGGTTTTTCAATGCTGGTGACTTGTTTTACTGAAGTAACCTTCTCAGGTTTGTCACTGCTGGTGACTTGTTTTACTGAAGTAACCTTCTCAGGTTTGTCACTGTTGGTGACTTGTTTTACTGAAGTAACCTTCTCAGGTTTGTCACTGCTGGTGACTTGTTTTACTGAAGTAACCTTCTCAGGTTTTTCAATGCTGGTGACTTGTTTTACTGAAGTAACCTTCCTTTTCCCAGCTTAATCTTCTCAATAGCTGCCTTCAATTCTTCCATCCTGATGTTATCTTCCCCATGATTGAATTCCTTCTCAGCAGTGAGGTCCATTATTTCTGGGTCATGACTTCCCTCAACGCCAAGGAGCTCTGAGAAGTATTCTTTCCATCTGCCCATGATATCCTTTGTAGAAGTAAGCAGAGCCCCTTCCTTGTCTTTTACGAATTTAAGTGGGCACTCTTTCTCCTTCCTCATGTTGCCATGTGGATACGATAAGACAAGAACACTGACCTGGTCCAAGATTTTAGTGATTATGTGAGACAGCTAAACATGATAGTCTAGGCTTATTGGCAGAGCACATGATGATGATAGTTAACTAAGAAGTATTTTGATGTACCCTGTTGACATAGATGAGTAAGGAATGCAGTTATGCAGCCGGACGAACCACTATATTTGCCAACAAAGGACTGCAGTCTGAAGATATAGCTAGGCTAATACTTGTATGATTAACTGACATTCATTTGGTCAGTACCATGGCAGGTAGCCTACCCAAGAGAACACATTCTGACACATGTTGAAAAGCTGGGTCGACCATTTTATAGGGCATTTCAAAACAATTGAATCTTTTCCACTCAATAAACTGGGGGGAAATCCTTCAAAACACAATCCTTTTACACAAGTTAGAAAAAACAAAAACTATACTTTCTATGGACCAAAACAGTATTTTTTTCATATGAGGTGTAATCAACAAATCAGAAGAGAATTACCCGACTTATGTATACATCGACTCATACTTGGCTCACTAATCTGGTAGCCTGGCAACCACTAGTGTAAATGGGAACTATATTTAAAAGCCATTTGTTCACAAGAACCCCCCCCCCCCCCCCCCCCCCATTCTGGAATAACACCAACGTTCAGAAGTGGATGAACAACTAGAACTTTCTGCTGAGTTTAAAGCCAGTGAGCGCTGAGAAGAAGTGTTCTGAGGGTATAATGCCAGGTGCATATTTCTGTGATGAAACAATACTGATTGGATAAAATGGTCAGTCCTCGAAATCAGAATAAAATTAAAACCAGTCATACAATTCACTGAAGCGCAGTTGATGAATTGATTTGGCCATTTGACAAGAAAATCCTGGCACCAACTGCCACAGAGAGCTGCACCAAAAGAATGAAATGTACACATGGGAATCACCCAAAGACGGGACAATGGCATCAAGAACTTTAAAGAAATTAAGAACAAGGTACACGATGTAATAGAAACAGCACATAGGTGATCCTCCTAACAGTTCAATGAGGTAAGCAGAGGAAGAGAAGAAGGAAAAGGAAATAGGCAAAAGATTAACAGCTGACTTGATCTTTCTTCTCTCTTGTCCTTTGTGTCACAACTCCAATATCACTTTTTATTTTCTCTTCTTCTTATCTTGAGCATATGTGTCTAAATAATTAAATCTTCAAATAGCTTGCTGGGCCTGTCCTAGAATCATTTCTAACTGCAGGCTGAATAGAAGTTATTAAAATATTAGGGGTTTTCTGCATTATACATCTGATACCTGTAGGTGACCATACAAAAACCATCTTTACAAATGGCAATCTTGATGATGTCCTATTGATTTTAATAGATGAGTGATTAAAAAAAATTAATAATATTAATCTCAATATTCTAATGAAAATGAAATGAACCTGTAAGGGACACACTAAAACAACAAGAACTTGGGCATGTGCGTGAATCCAAAAAAATTATTTGTCAGCATAAATAACTTACACAAATGATGCTAGTTACATTCCCACATATACCTCTTGTATAATTAATTGTTCTAAGCACTTTAAATGTGAACAACAAAGATACAAATAATATACAGCAAAATGTATTGCTTAAATGAAAGGAGTCATTTACCTGCTTAATCTAAGTGCAATGAGTAGGCACCTGATGAAATGCAGCAAAATATTCCCGGCAATTATTTGTGCAAAATATTGTTTGTGTGTTATTTATCCAAATAATTCAATTTGGATGGTTTCATGACGGACAGAGAAACAAAAAACTTAATGTATGATAAACAAACTTTAACTTACTAACTGGCATTCCCACATAAAGAAATAGAAAGCAGAGACATAAGAGACAACAGAAAAACTTAAAAGTTATAAGTACCACACATAGGACTGTACAACAAAATGGATTTGTTTATCATAACATGTCAATTGCCTCCAGGTTTCCCAAGTAATTTCACATGAGCTACTTCCATCCATTGACAACTGTTCTGTCTTGGCTGTCAGTATGGATGCTCTATGGATAGAAGTTTAAACACAGAGGTGATGCAGCTAACTCTGAGCTCTGTTTTGATAAAATATTTGTCCAACTGAAGTATCCGATACTAAACATTTAAAATAACCATATCAAGGCAATATTTAAACTTTTCTAATTTGTGTGTGTTTAATTTATTATCAACTCATAAATGAAAATAGCAGCTTTTGTGGCATAGTGGTTAGTGCACTAGCCTATAAAACAGTGGTCTGGATTTAAGACCCAAACCACACAAGTTGATTCTCTCGCCTTTAACTCTCTCAGTACCAAACTGGCAAACGATTATGTAGAACATAAAATAATCATCAAAAAATAAAATAAAATAAGAAATAAAAGCAACATTCATCCTTCTTAAAAGCAGCAATGTAGCCTTGTCCACAGACGATAAAACAACCCTGGTCAACAAATGATAAAGCAACCCACCATTTTGTTTAGCTAGAGACAGTGCATGGTTATGTATGTAGTAGGGACAAAAAGGGTTAAAATTAAATTTCTTTTTCTTCTGCATTCATCCGAAGATGTAATTGCGTTGTGTCCGTTTACAGCATGGCTGCTATATTTGCACCTTTTGGCCAACCCATGTGACTTCTGCGGGCATTTGTTGACCCGGTTAGCCTTCCCGGTGAAAATTAAATTTAACTGCGTTAAAAAGCTGAACCATTTGGTCACTAACTGCCTGAATAAAAAAAGGTGTTCCTTGGTCAATACGTTGCTCATTACCTCAAGATATTGCACCTTAAGGGAGCAGTGAAAAAAAAAATAATCAGCACTCAGCATGGGGAAGATGCTGCAAAAAGACAGGACAGTGGTATCAAGAACCCTAGAGAGATGAAGACCAACTTACAGCTGCACTGGAGTGAGCAGTAAAAGGATTATTATATCCCAGCCTCCCACCAAACACTTCACTGAAGCAAATGGAGGATGAGAAGACGGCTCATTGATGGGTCCTCTACTTATATTACTAGCCCAAGTGTTACTGGGGCCCGTAAGTGGAGTAAAGAACAGTTACTGTATAACCTATCTAGCATGTTATGATGGCAGTGAGTCTGGGAACATGGTGTAAACTCTGGCTGTCTGAATCAATGTTGTTAGTGGTTCAGCTTTCTCCAGGAAAGGATGATCTAACAATTGACTGGCGCTTGCTCTGTGGGTCACATCCACCTCTAGACATCTGTCAAGGAAGTCCCTTAGTTCTGGGGATAGCTTGTGTTCGTCTTTTATGTCTGGTTTTCCCTGGAAACACACACAGAAAGTTATCATTCACAGAATATGTGCACACACACACGCACACACACAAAGTAAAAATCAACCCCAAAAAATAAACTACCAAAATAACAAAGTTTACCACTCTTTTCACACCACTTATTCCTCTGGTGTAAGATTTTCATGGACCAGTCAGCTCCTGATAAATGATGCAGTCAATATTATGCCAGCCATCTTTATTTTTCAGGATATTTCTTGGTACAAATCTTAGGACAAATCTGATCAAGAAACCCCAGGTCAATTATAAAAATCCGACCAAACTCAAGATCTTCAGGCAAAGGTGGGTGCACAAATAATGGGAAGCAAGTTTCATTTCTCCACATGCATAGTAAACCTTGACCCACGGAGACACACTCACTTACTGTTATTTGGGAGAAACAACTTCTCTAAAATTGCTACATATATAAAACTAAAACACTTGATATCTTGTGTAGATAATTAAAAAAAACAGTAATAAAATAAGAACTAGAAAGAGGAGGACAAGAAGAAAATGAAAAAAGAAGAAATAGATGTATTAGGATGAGAAGTAGAGAAGGAAGACTACTTAACAAAACAGGTTTATCTTTTCTATAAAAAAAAAAATCAGATTTTTATGAAAACAGAATAAATCATACATTTTATCAAAAAGTTTATACCCAGAGAGAGAAACAGCACTCCCCCCCCCCCCCCCCCCAATTCCTTTTGTTATGTGTGATTGTTACTCTCTATTAATTCTTCTTCTTTTGTCAAAATCTGCTTGTGCCGCTAGGCGTCGCAGTCTATCAGATGATCGGCATCCGAGCCAGGGCGCGCTCAGTCGCTTCATATGCCGTGATGTTATGAAGTCTCAAGTTGTCCGTGACTCCTTCTTCTTCTTGGTCTTCCCCTGCCTCTTGGTGTTTCGATTTTCATGTTGTATGTTCTTGATGCTGGCATCGTTGGTTCCATTCTCATTAGGTGACCAAACCATTTCATTCTTTGCTTCTCAATAAATTTAACGATGGGTATGGTTCCAATAGTTCTTGTAATCACATCGTTTCTCACTCCATCTCTTCTGGTTTTATTTGCAGCCATTCTCAAACATCTCATTTCACAGGTGGTTAGTCTTCTCTTGTGTTCTTTTGTTAATGTCCAAGTCTGACATTGATAACCTAATGTCGGTATAAAGATTGTATTTGTATTTATAATTTGTCTTTTTATCTCAGCTGGGACAGCAGGGTGTTTTAAAATTGGGGCAAGCTGGTATGCGACATTGTTGGCTTGTTGGATTCTTGCTTCGATCTCTCTTGTCTATTTTACCATTCTTCTTCTTCTTTTGTCAAAATCTGCTTGTGCCGCTAGACGTCACAGTCTATCAGATGATCGGCAACCGAGCCAGGGCGCGCTCAGTCGCTTCATATGCCGTGATGTTATGAAGTCTCAAGTTGTCCGTGACTCCTTTAATCCATCTTCTTCTTGGTCTTCCCCTGCCTCTTGTTGTTTCGATTTTCATGTTGTATGCTCTTGATGCTGGCATCATTGGTTCCATTCTCATTAGGTGACCAAACCATTTCATTCTTTGCTTCTCAATAAATTTAACGATGGGTATGGTTCCAATAGTTCTTGTAATCACATCGTTTCTCACTCCATCTCTTCTGGTTTTATTTGCAGCCATTCTCAAACATCTCATTTCACAGGTGGTTAGTCTTCTCTTGTGTTCTTTTGTTAATGTCCAAGTCTGACATTGATAACCTAATGTCGGTATAAAGATTGTATTTATAATTTGTCTTTTTATCTCAGCTGGGACAGCAGGGTGTTTTAAAATTGGGGCAAGCTGGTATGCGACATTGTTGGCTTGTTGGATTCTTGCTTCGATCTCTCTTGTCTATTTTACCATTCTTCTTCTTCTTTTGTCAAAATCTGCTTGTGCCGCTAGACGTCACAGTCTATCAGATGATCGGCAACCGAGCCAGGGCGCGCTCAGTCGCTTCATATGCCGTGATGTTATGAAGTCTCAAGTTGTCCGTGACTCCTTTAATCCATCTTCTTCTTGGTCTTCCCCTGCCTCTTGTTGTTTCGATTTTCATGTTGTATGCTCTTGATGCTGGCATCATTGGTTCCATTCTCATTAGGTGACCAAACCATTTCATTCTTTGCTTCTCAATAAATTTAACGATGGGTATGGTTCCAATAGTTCTTGTAATCACATCGTTTCTCACTCGATCTCTTCTGAATTTATTTGCAGCCATTCTCAAACATCTCATTTCACAGGTGGTTAGTGTTTACAATGAGTGAGAGATGGCTGACCTGTTCTCGAGCCCTGATTGTTGTTACGTTTGATGGATTTTCTAATTTCCTATATTGTTTCTAGAGCAGATTTTTGTGAACTCTTAAATCCACTGCCGATTTGCTGGACCTGACACAGATTCATCCTTAAGAGAACACTGGAAAACACCATTGAATGTAATTAATCACATATTTTCAATACGCAAAACTGATGTTGCTTCCTAGGTTGTCCAAACTAGACCACAGACTTGCTCTGTTCATGGCTATTATGAAGGTGGCAATAACACACACAATAACACACACAACAACATAACTCCATGATGGAAAACTGGATAAACCTCATTCCTTCTGTTATCTGTTTCAAACTTAGAGCTACATCTTTGTATTTTAAACGTCTCCACTTGTAAACTGTCAATGGTTAAATATATAAATTATGAACTGTGTGGGTGTACAAGTAATTATGGCATATCCTGAGCATGCTAGAACTGTGCACAGAACTGTAGGTAATTACACTGTGCATATAAAACCACAGGAAAAAGTGTAGAATAATATTGTATTTAAAAAAATAACTGCATGCTTTTTCATCTATACTACTTAGTTTTTAAGTTCTAAGTTAGATTATCTTCACAGCACTCCAGACACATCCATAGGTGCTCAGATTCCCTCAACATATTCATCAGCGTCGTACGGTTAATAGTGCCAGTCCTATGTTGGTTAACAAGACTTTGTGGGCGTCCGGTGTGCTTCTCATGCTTGCCTGTCCCGATCTTGACTCCCAATTCATGTATTCTTAGCATTGATGTGAACACGTTGCTTCCAAAATCCTCAGAACGTCCTATCTCTCTAAGGGCAATGACACTGTCTGCGTGAGCCATGGGCCGGCCATCTTCAATTAATGCAGCATCTGATAGGTCAATCAGCCCTCTCGTTACCAACAACGCCTGCATGCCTTGGGATGAATATGAAAGTGACTGCTCACACAGGAAAATTTAGCAACGGCGCAAGCCCCTGTCTGCGTAACCAGCCTGTCTTGACCCGCAGTTTTTAAGTTTCATGTATATGTGTGTGTATATACATGGGAGCCAAAGTAGCACAGTGGCTAGAAATGATCTGCCAGCCTGAAAGTCATGGGTACAAGTCCACATTATAGCTGCATTTTATGTAATGACCTTCACACTCAGGTTGACCCCGCCTTTAAAACAGGTACTAGTGATGGTATTATAATGTCTGTATGCTTTACTTCATACACATTAAAAAAAAATATTTTAAAAAACCCTCAGCGAAGTGTAATTTCAAAATGCCGTAAAAAAAAAAATGGGGCTGAAAACAATTATGCTGCTATTCTGTTCAAATCAAAACTTGAGTTGTTTGGCCATGAGTTAATATCTTTACATTTGACATGTTCCTCAGAGGCTGTGTTCTCTGGCTACACATTCTATATATTCATGCTGTGCTGTTAATTAGTTCTTTTTTTTTTTATTATTTGAGTTTCCAGAAATGTGTCAATGAATATATGAATATCCTGTCTGTGTCCATTGAGTGTGGAAAGAAGAGACACTATACATACCCAGTAAAACTTTGTTAATGCAGCTGCATAAGAACACTTGGTTCTTCTTCTTCTTCTCCTTTTCTCTACTCCTGGAATGCCTTGCGGCTTAAGAACACTTGGTTCTTCTTCTTCTCCTTTTCTCTACTCCTGGAATGCCTTGCGGCATAAGAACACTCGGTTCTTCTTCTTCTCCTTCTCTGTACTCCTGGAATGCCTTGCGGCATAAGAACACTCGGTTAACAGAACAACAAAATGTTGGTCTCAGCAGGGATGTTTCCTTTTTGCTTCCTCATCCACATGATTTTTTAAACATGAAATCTTGATTTTTCTGTCCCATAGAATTCAGACTAGTGAGGTTTGACTGTTAAAAGTTTATTTACCTTAGTTGTGATTCGGTAAATAGCTTTGATTGGCGATTCATCCAAATACGGTGGCTCCCCTTCCAACATCTCTATGACCATAATGCCTAGACTCCAGATGTCCACTTTGCTGTCGTACTGTTTCCTGCACACACACAATAATCATGTTCACTAGGAAGGTACATGAATGTGTCAATTTCACAAAAGCTATTCTGGGTGTTGAATCATACTGTCATGTCACTCATAAATTTTCAGTTAAAAGAAAAGTTAAGTTAATGGTAATGTTTCTTTTGTTTTGTACATACAACACTTTCACTATGATTGTACGGTCATTTTACAAAAGCTTATGCTTAAAGTTGTAATGCTCTTTAACCATTCTGAGCCCAAATTAAAAGGACCCATTGTGATGGCAACTTGGTAAAACGTGAATATGATGTTGTGTGTGAAGAGGGTAGAAGGAGTACGGCAAGTGTGTGAGTGCTTAGGGGAGGGGTTAACATACCAGACTTTCCGTGTGTAAGTTGTATTCAACTGATAATCCAGGATTGTTTTGTTGTGAAACCTCTTAAACACTTAACGTTTGAACTGTAATAATGATGCACTGCTTTTTAAATTGCGTGAGCTATTATGACAAGGGCTTAGACTGGTCTTTCAACCCAGTACCAAAGTAATCTTGAGTAATCATATGGGGACTGTATTGCAGTGATCTTGCTAAGCACTTCAAATCAGAAAGCAGAAATCCTTTCAAGATTGGTACTAAAACTTCATGTCTGCTTCTCAATGTTCTCTTTCTCCAGTTACGTATGAGTATGTGTATGCATTGCATACTTCCTTGTGTGGAAGTATAAGAATCTGTGTATGTGCATTTATGACTGCGTGTGTGTGTATGTATGTGTATTTATGAGTGGGTAATGTGTATATTATGTATGTATGTATGTATGTACAGTTGTATTAATGTATTGGTGGGTGGTATGTATGTTTGAATGTATGCATTTACTGTCCATGCTTTTGTCCATTGTTGTTGATATTCATATCATGTATATTGTTATCTTAAGGTGAGACAAGACATCCAAAAGAAACTCTATGGCAAAGTTGATAAGAGAAGCCAAAGATGCAGGACTGGATTCCATCCATGATACCAAAGTGATTGCACAGGATTGAATGGAAGGACAAACAGACTGCAAGCCCAATGTGACATATAAAAGCACAAGAGAACAATGAGACTGAACTTAAGATTCTCTAGAGAAACAACTGCAGTAACAAGAAAATGAATGTGCGAAAGGGCCAAAAATGAGAAGGGCCTGCGTGACAAATATGTGACCCTCTGAAGTTTGTTCGTTCACTTGTTACCTCATCAAGGTGTTGGGTCGGGCTGTGAGAATCTTGTTTCTTATGTGTTGCATAAGTTGATTCTTATTTCTTTGAGGCTGTTCTTGAGGCAAACACTTCCATCAACTGCATAGTCTTTTCCTTGCTCTGTGTTCACTGTATTTCTTCAGTGTGCCTCTGTGGAACCTGGTACTTGGGCATTGGCCTAATCACTAGCCCTGAGAAAACTAAATCTAGTGACTTCTGGTCATGAAATAGTTCTGTAAATTCTGATATACTGGCATGTGTTGGTGACCTGCTCTCAAAAAAGTTAAATGTAAATGGTTCTGCGTGTATCTGTGCAGTGTAAAGATTCTCCTGTAAAACTCTAGTGACCGAGGTCCAGTCATCAGCCATTCAATTTATATTTGTTTTGAGTCCTGTCGATGCTGTACTCTATTCAAGTTGATTGATTACTCCTTCTATACATTAGCTCAGGAAAAAATATTAAAATGTAGATAAAACTTTTAAACAATTTAGTAGTTACCTGTGTAAAATAGTTGTTTTTAAAGGATTTTGGGGGGATTCACACAGGTTCATTTTCCTTTAAAGAAAGTATTTATAGGACATTAAGGTAAATGAACTGTGTGACTAATTTGAATCCCAGCCTTCTTCTGAGTTTTGATATTTTCTTGTTACTCCAAAAGTTCTTCTAAGACAAGTCTTCTTCTACTTCTTCATGTTCACCAGCTGTAAACTCTGGCGGAAAGTTCTAGTTGTTCATCCACTTTTGGAATGCAGTCCTGTTCCAGAGCGGCGTCCGTTTCTAAGGCGTTGCGAGTCCGACTCGTAAGCCAGCCTACCGCGATCGAAACCCACTGCAGGCTGCGTGGATTTTTGTCGTGGTATGGGACGTCGCAGGTCGACCCAGCCTAAAATGGGTACCAGGATGGGCTGTCCTGGGAAAGTAAAGACAGCCGGCGTAATGCTGACCACATTACCCACAGAGTGCTGATGGTCTGTAAAAATATGGGACGCTCTGCCCATATGCCCGATGCGCCGAAAGGCGTGAAAAGGGAACTTTACTTTTACTTTTTACCTGTTCCAGAACCTGATTCTTGCATGTGCATCCGTCTTACAGATCTGTCTCCTTTGTGTGCAGACTGCTGGTTCCTTGCCTCTCAGGCAGATGCACTACGATTTCAAAGGAAGCTCCCAATTAGTTGACTCTTACGATATGCTTTTGGATAGGCAGTGGGTTTATTCTTGTTTTCCCTATAATAGGGCCGTGGAACCCACACTGGGAACAAGTCAGTCATTTATCTTATTGTCAGATGCCAAGTAAGCAACATGATGATGTTGCTGGACCCTTGTGTGTACTAGATTACCCAGTTATGAGGTCAAGGTGTGACCAGACTGAGTGACTACGAGAAAGCCAGGACGGATTAGCTGGACTAAGTGGTAGAAGCCAGGACGGATTAGCCGGACTTAGCGGTGCGCTTGATCAAATTCATGAGCAGTCCGAAAAGGGAGTGAGCTTTGTAGAGTAACAAAAGGACTGCTAAGGGGAAAGATCGAGGAACATTTGTAGGGAGAATTTGTGCGACTTTATGGCAGAGACATTGTGTAACTCTCAGTGCTTATTCATGGGAGCGGCTCAGGTGTAATTGCAAAGCTGGCACAGCCTGCGTTTTAAATAAGAGCTATCTGCAGTTCTTGGGGCGTACTTCCATTAGTTTGAAGCTCTTTGTACATAACAGATTTTGTGTGTTCTCCATAGGTGTTCGTCTTGGTGTGTGTTAGTCAGATTTATCTGTTAGTGGCCAACAATGTGAGCCATAGTTATGATACCCTATACGTATAGTTATGATAGTTATAATATGGGAGCCCGTCCAGGATTTGAACCCAAGTACTCTCGCAGCAGAAGCAAGAATCATACCCCTAGTCTATTATTTTGCACTTATTAGTTCTAGCGAGGGTCTATGTTTGACACAGGCAGCACAGTTTGGCCACAAGCTAGTTTTTATCAGATTTGCCTTCAGGCTAGTTGACAAGCACATCAGGCTGTAACCTGATAATGATTGTATAAAACATATCAATAATCTCTGAGGTAGCTGAGGGGGGTAATGTTTCCACCACTGCTTTCAGTAAACCACTACAAACAGACTGCAACCAAGTGTCCACAAAAGCTGTATTTATAACAACAACCAAAAAAGTAAGTTACAACATTATTCAGGCACTCTAATGATAAATCAACAGTTTTAAGCAAGTCAGGGCTCTGAGAGACACCCTACAACAAATGTTTATGAGGGCAGCCAGAGATACAGGACTGGATTCCATACATGGCATTGAATGTATGCATAGAATAGAATGGAACAATTGACTTGACCCTTATGTCATACCACAACAGAATGATGATGATGTAATGCTTCCACTAGAACAAAATTATAAGAAAAATCTACCTGTGGACAGAGCCTTGGACAAATCAAGCTAGTTGCAGAAACTAGCTTCTTATATAGAGATGTGCAATTAAAAAACTCCATGTATCACAGTGCTCAGGATGAAAGAACAAAGAATGTTTTCCAAAACACAAATAAAATGAGACTTTAAAATCTTTAGACTAACCTTTTAATGATCTCTGGAGCCATCCAATAAGGTGTGCCGACCATTGTGTTCCTTTTACCCCTGTCACCACTCAGCTGGGCACAGAAACCAAAGTCTGTCAGTTTGACAGCACCGGTCATCCCTAGCAGTACATTGTCACTCTTGATGTCTCGGTGGATGATGTTGTTGCTGTGAAGAAACACCAGAGCTTTCAGACACTCATGGCACACTGCAGCAATCTGGCCCTCATTCATGACTGTCTCTTTGACTACATCAGTTAGTGCGCCTCCATCTAAATACTGAGATATAAAAGATAACATCTGTTAGTATGAACACCAGTTATTGTTACTTATTCGATTTCAAGAAGTACTGAAGAAGTTAAATGTAAAACTGGGCAAGTATAAGTAGCATTCAAAAGGAATAACAAATAGTCTATTGAATCTGTCTTTGTCAAATGAGGTGATGAATAGACCACTTAAGTGTTATAAAGATAAAATCCTTATGTATGAATCACAAACAGTCAACCGATTAGTAAACACATTATCTGGAACCTGTAGAGATGTGGTTTTCTTTACAGAATTATTTGAACATCATGGCTGGATAACCCAAAAAAAAAAAAATGTAAGCAAAATGTCTCGAAAAAAATAATGAAGAGATCTGATTATCCATACCAGAAGCAGATAATCAGCTTACTTTGGTCACCCTGTAAGAAGGTAAAAACTCAACATGCCAGGACAAACAGCACAGTTAGAGAGGAAGCATGGTTCCTCTGCCCAATGTCCAGTCTGATTTATTTAAGGTCAAAGTGATATCCAATATACTGTGCCCAACTTTAAGCTGACCGATCAATGCCTCTGCTTCCAGAAAACAAACATGGATTACCGCCTGTTCTACACATCTGCAGCACTTAATATACATATAAATATATAAATATACATATAAATATATAAATATACATATAAATATACATATAAATATATAAATATACATATAAATATATAAATATACATATAAATATATAAATATACATATAAATATTAAAATATACATATAAATATATAAATATACATATAAATATATAAATATACATATAAATATATAAATATACATATAAATATATAAATATACATATAAATATATAAATATACATACATACACTCACATAAGTATTTCAGTTCCAAAGACATGAAACTATTTACAGACTAGTTTTTCTTCAATATTCAGATCTTGCACAATGGCAGCATTTTTCGCCAATTTTATTCTAAGAATTGATCTGTAACATTTAAGTTTGTGGCCCTGGTTTTTTCTTCTTTGGTGAATGTAAAGATGCATTTTCTATTTATGTATTTTTTTTGCATGTGTTGCGTGACTGGCTTTTGAGTCTTTTCCCCTGTAAAAATCTTTTTTTTTTAAATATAGGGGGCTGAAACCAATGCCTACCGAGCAGACAGCAGACAGGCAAGCCTGCTAGCCACTGCATCACTGTGATCTGCAAGTTATTAAAAATAGAAATGGTTGTAATTTTTAAACCCAAAAACAGTCAGCTTTCTAGTAAGGTAAGTTGATTACCAAATAGGGTCTCCTTAACTTACGGTCGAGTTCCATCTCACCACATGGTGTGTTAGCCCCGCCTATACACACACACTAGGTCACTCCTCACTGGTAGTTCCTGAGCGTCGTGCCTTTTGCACAAGGTTAGGGGGTGTTCAGTAATACCGTTGATATCGTGTGTTGTATATTTCAGCATGCCAGTGCTCCAAAAACATGGAGCACTGAAGTTAACACAACCTCCCAACAAGACTGCTGCAACCTATGTCACAGGCATTCTCTTTTTTGGAATGAAAAGGTAAATGAAAGACAACACAGAAAAAAAAACAATAGAGCAGGTCACACCTGTAACCTTCAGGAAAGTTGACCAGTTCAACAAGCTTGCGCATGAAAAGTGACCTACTCTATTGGGGAGATTTATGTAAAGTTCACCGAACATCTTTTTTAGAAATGACTGACAGTACATGAGAAGGCTGTGGTCTTGATTACCAACACCACATCCATACAAACCCTTTCTGTATTTCGTGTTTCGTTTATAAATTAAGTTTTTCCAAACGGTGACCAATACACAGGTTAAATCTGCTGCCATTACGACTACAATGTTTAATTAAACAGTCACATCACTGGCCCAGGTTATTATGCATTTCTTTATTTACTGTGAAAACCAGTAAACTTTCGCTGAAGTATATACCTTTGAATTTTTCCCCTTATTACTTCCCTTGAAAAAGGTAATTTAAAAAAAATTATATTTGGCTGTTATCTTCCTTGAAACCACATATCTGTGTGTTTCTGAGACAAGACGTTTCTCTGTCTCCCAGACTGTTGACGACTGGTGTTAGTATTACAGGGGGCACATCGGGTGCACTTATGGACGATGACTAGAGATACAGCAGCATAAAGACAAAGATGAAGTAGAAGACAGGATATTCGGTTTAAGATGGACACTATTTCCACTAGGCCTACACATAGGGCAGCAGTGGATATCAAGAAGAGATCAGGATGAGAGAATAAGACTTTCTTTCACTTTGCTGGCAGAAGCTTGGCAATTCTTCTTCTTCTTCTTCTTCTTTTGTTTGACTGAAATAAGTTGTCTATATCAGCAGTTTTGTCTCTTGTATAAATTTCACTGTCGTTGTTAGTTCATTCAGTGGTCAATAGAGTTTACGTTCCAAGCTAGGCAATCAAATCTAAGCGGTTGGCACAATATGGGGTGTCAGGTTTAGTATGTGCTGCCCAACATTCGTTGTTAACAGATGACACGAACAACTGGCTACTGTTATATGGTAGCTCATTCATATCTGCGAATCTAGGAGACTATAGGAATAAGAAAATATATATAACAGTCCACATGAATTCTTACCTCCATTACCACCCACAGCTCAGTGTCGAGGTAGTAGCTTTCAATAAAGTTGACAATGTTTTCATGTCTGTGTTGTTTCATAACTTCAATTTCTGAGATGATGTGCTTCTTTCTAGGGTGCTTGTCAAAGTCCATGATTTTGATGGCCACAACTTGATTTGACTCTTTGCACCTAGCCATCATCACCGTGCCAGACCCCCTATAAACAATTATCATCTACATGCAGACAAGTTTTTGGTCTGTGTTTATTTCTATGCTCAATAACCAACAGAGATTATATAACCATGAAAAAATGGTTGCCTCAAACACCTGAATAGAACAGACCAAGTCATGGTTTTTTGCCTATGCACAGGATACTGCAGACTAAATAAACACTCATATTAATAAGGTATGAGCCAACAGCTCTCTGTCAATGTCTTCATGCTGAACAAACTCAAGAACATGTCTTGCAAGACTGTCCTCTCTTGGCAGACAAAACATGTGGCCACACCCAGTAGACCTGACAGCTAAGCTTTGGGGAAACAGAGAGAACTTGAAATGACATTCTAGTTTATTACCTGCAGTGGATTATGTGCATGACCGGAGATAGCTGCTAAACTGTCGAATGTACATAAAACACAAAGTTCACTAGTCTAGTTGACCATACTTCAATTACACTTGTTTCCCCCAATGAAGCACTGTCATTATTTGGAGGCAACAGGTCCAAATGCTAGCTTAGTAACTATAGCTTATCGATGTCTATGCTGTCTAGTGTGTCCTCTATCTCTATGACTGTCAATCAATACACTCAAAGACGAATGTTAGTATAGATGATTAGCGACTTAGTCATGCCCTGCATCACAATGGGAGGAAATTAGATTCTAGAATTTTTCTGCTTAATAACCTTGGCACTTTTAGGACCTGAAAATTAATGAAAATTTAGTGAAAACTGACTTACCCTTCACCAAGTTTCTTTTGTAAATCATATTTCTCTTTAGCATTGCGTGTACTTGACATATTTTCTGACAAGAAAATGAAAGTGTACGAAGTTTAAACAGTTGCATGTAAATAAAGTTGCTTTTGATAAATGTTGCACATCATTTTCAGTAGGCTTGTCAAACATGCAGCCCTTTGCAAGTAATAATTCATATTAACTGACTTCAATTAACTGTGGTGTTGGCACTCATGACAACACAAATGTGACTTATGTAGCCCTTGGGGGACATTGCAAACTAACTCCAGTATTCAATGTACATTTACTAGATAATTGTATGTACAGTAGCCTGACATAACTATCTGCAGTCAGTGCTCAACCCTTCAAAGTCAATGCACAATTGTCTGATAAATAGCCTGCTAGTCATTTTGAACTACCGTATGACAGGACTGTGAAAATGCATTCATAACAAATCTCTTGAATATGGACAGGGAGAAGTCCGGGGGGTATACCGACCATCAGGTTATCATATGGACAGAGAAAAGTCTGGAGGTATACCGACCATCAGGTTATCATATGGACAGGGAGAAGTCTAGAGGTATACCGACCATCAAGTTATCACATGGACAGGGAGAAGTCTGGTGGTATACCGACCATCAGGTTATCACATGGACAGGGAGAAGTCTGGGGGTATACCGACTATCAGGTTATGACATGGACAGGGAGAAGTCTGGAGGTATACCGACCATCAGGTTATCATATGGACAGGGAGAAGTCTGGGGGTATACTGACCATCAGGTTATCATATGGACAGAGAGAAGTCTGGAGGTATACCGACCATCAGGTTATCATATGGACGTGGAGAAGTCTGGAGGTATACCGACCATCAGGTTATCATATGGACAGGGAGAAGTCTGGAAGTATACAGACCATCAGGTTATTGTATGGACAGGGAGAAGTCTGGAGGTATACCGACCATCAGGTTATCATATGGACAGGGAGAAGTTTGGAGGTATACCGACCATCAGGTTATCATATGGACAGGGAGATTAGCAGTACAGTGGGACACAGAAAAGTTAGGTGTGTAGTGAGATAACAGAAAAGTTAGGTGTGTAGTGAGATAACAGAAAGGTTAGGCGTGTAGTGAGATAACATAAAAGTTAGGTGTGTAGTGAGATAACAGAAAAGTTAGGTATGGAGTGAGATAACAGAAAGATCAGAAGTATGTTAGGACACAAGAGGTTAGGAGCATACAGAAGAAATAAACACAGAAACTCTTTTGGAAAAAAAAAGATTTTGCAGAATTACTCACTTAATGTTTCTTTAATTTCATGGTCTGTCATAATCCTCTGTGATTGTGATCGCCCTTTCAAGATTTTCTCATCATCCGTGTCATTAACGTCAGGATCTCCTAGCTCTGCTGAATTCTCATAATCTACAGCTGTATCATTTGTGGCCAGTTCAGGTATGTGAACTTTATCCTAACAAACAAACAAATACAAGTAGACTAACACAGGTAGCAGGTACTCTGAAGTAAAGTTATGACAGTTGTAATGTATATGACAGCTGTAGTGTATATAACTGAGATTTTAAACAAACAGATAATACTAACTATAGCATTCAGCATTACCAAACATTATAAAAGGCTAGGCTTAGTTGTTCATGTGTCTTCTTGTTCCAGGATTTAAGTGCGGCACATGTCTCTAGTCGGCATCGGCGTCTTAGTTGTTGCAAACATGCTTAATAATGACAGGTTCATCTCAGCTGTAGACGATTTGACAGCTGAATGTTTTGAGTTGGTTTTAACTGTGGTACTGAGAGCTGACCGTTTAGAAAGCAATCATCCCCGTGTGGGTAAAACAACAATAGACCCACTGCCTCCCCAACAAGCATGTTGTGAGTCGACTAACTGGGGACTTCCTTTGAAGCTGGAGTGCATCTGCCTGATTGGCAAGGAACAACCAACTGCACACAAAAAAGCCAGTAAAACGGATGTACATGCAAAACTCAGGCCCTGGCAAAAAGCCAAAATCCAGTTGGATGAACAACCAGGACTTTCTGCTGCAGCTTAGTGGGTGAACAAAGAATAAGAAGAAAACAATGGCAAACTACTGAAAGTTGCCTAAAAGAACCACATCAGTCAAAAAAATTTTGTATGGTTCTGCAATGTCCTGTAAAAGATACAAATTACCTTTTTAACATTTCCAACTTCACAGCAAATGAATAATTACTCCCATAATTACTCTGTTCCTGCACCTGTAAAAATTATAACTAAATGCCCATCACGGTCCCATGTGGAAAAAATCAAACAATCCCTGCAAGATCTGGCAGCTTGCAAACATATAAAATACATAAGACCGCTGACCTAAGTTCCAACACCAACAGTCTGTCACTAGAATTACAGTTCATAGTGGATGAAAACAACAGCCATTACAACCAGGTGATCACAAATGAATGCATAAGGCATACCACCAGTGCTGTTGCAACCAGTCACTCATCATTTTTTGAATATGCTGTTCACAACTCAGATCTTTGCAAGTACAGACCAAACGCATTCCACATGAATTTCACAGCTCACAGTGTTGCTGGATGTACTCAACTCAGCAGCTGGCTGACAGAATCAGATCTCATCTCTACCTCGTTTCTTGTCCCATCCAGTTTCCTATGGCGGTGGAGGGGGGGGGGCCTTCTTCTAAGTGTTCACCAGATGTTAACTTTGGTGACAAGTTCTGGTTTTTTATCCACTTCTGGACTTTGGTCTTATTCTAGAATCTGAGTCATTTGTGCACATCCTTTTTACAGATCTGGCTTATCTGTATGCAAACTGTTGGTCTCTCACCTTTGGGGCAGATACACTCTGAATTTGAAGGAAATACCCCTAACTAGTCACCTTTTACCATAAACCTGGTAGGGGAACAGTGGGTGTATTCTTTTACCCCATAAACGAGGGCGGGGAAAGTGCAGAGTTTCAATTTTGAAGGCACCAGTAATAGTGATGACTGAATATCTATCTTGCCTTTCCCTTGAGTGTCAGCCAGATCTCCTGACCACTGTTGTAGCACTATTCTCCTCAGACTGTGATGATCTGTTTGTACCCTCGCTCTCAAAGGACTCTTACAACGTCTAGCTTGACCAGACAGGTGTAGAGAGTTTCTGACCAGCTCGGGCCCTGGGTCTATGTATCTCAGGGTAGACTCTTCTTTTTCTTCTGCATTCATCAGAAGATTTACATCATTTACATTGTGTCCATTTACAGCATGGCTGCGATATTTGCGCCTTTCGGATAACACCTCTGACGTCTGCAGGGTTTGTTGACCAGGTTACCCTTCCTAGTTAGTTTTGTGGGACACTGCAGTCTTATTATTGTGTGGTCATCGTTGTTTCCCAGGTCACAGGTGGTGCTCCATATCAGGCCAGTCCACAGAAGTCATGTAATGCTGATCAGCCCTAAAGAGAAAGCAGGGGCAGAACATGAGCATTCCCCGCCATCCAAGGAGGCTTCCTTAAATCCTGAGCTTATACATGGTGCTCTGGTACAAGGGCTCACCCAAGGAATCATCACATCCTGCTCATAACTGATTCATCTAACTTCCATACATTCATCATGGGCTTCGACTTTAGTAGCCAACAGTAAGTAGCCTGCCTGTAGACCTGTGATTTCAATCATTTACACAAAATGAGAACTTTGCTTCTTTTGCCTGTTAAGATCTTCCTCATCCACTATAGTTTTATACAACATTTCCCACATAGATGCCAAGTGGCATCATGTGTAGCAGTATACAGACAGACGGATCTGTTTCATTTTTCTTCCAGCGTCATATTTACGAGCTGTGTCTCTAGGGATTATCAGCTTCGAGAATCCCAGACAGTTTTATTCTTCTTACACCTTCAAACATCAATGTGAATATTTTTGAAGAAATCAGCAGTCAACTTGAAGTTGTTGACAACTCCAATTTATCCTAAAAAGTTGTGGGGGTTAGCCACAATAATTTCCTCGGTTCTGCATATGTTGGACACTCTTTCAGCAAGGTACAATCATTAGTGTCTCCTATCTTAGTTTATTGAAGAAGTGGTGTTTCAGCCTACTGTGTCCTGTGGAGTTTAAAAATCACTACTTGTTCTCTTTGGCCAAGTTAGTAGTAAGCATCATCCTTCGTGTAGCCTGGATGTGCACAATCCCACCTGTTACTATATGTACTTTTATAAACCTCCTGGCCTCATCACATTTCATGTCTATATCAGGCTGGTGTAGTCTTCCACTTTCCTTTGCCAATCTGTCAGCCTCTTTATTTCCAGGTATGTTGCAATGAGACTGAATCCATTGTACTATGACTTGTTCATTCCTGACTCAGTTCATGAAATGCAGCTCAAAGGTCTGCTAGTTCTGTACTGTTTTTGCTCTTCAGGGCTGTGGCAACTGACTTTGCATCTGTGAAGGTAGCTATGTACTCCTCTTTATTTTTCTTTGACAGAAGCATTCCTGCTGCAGTTCTCAGAGTCTATGCCTCTGCTCTAAAATTACTTGAGAACTTTCCAGTTGCTGTTGACTGTTTTCTTTGATCCATTTTTGACAAGGCTTGCTGCATCCTATTGTTGGCTACACTAATATGTTCTTCTCTAATCCATGTAACTTAGTTGTCTGCAAAAAACGAGGTATGTATTCTGGTTGGAAAGTTATTTGAAATATCATTTACATATGCTAAAAAGAATATTGGTGACAATACTAACCCTTGGAGTACACCTTGTTCTAACATTTTTAGTTGCTAGTCTGTCCTTGTACTTTTGTCCTGGCAGATCTGTTCTCAATGTAGTGACTGATTCCATTGTACATTTTCCTATAAATGAACATTTTTTTGTAGTTTCACTTTCAGTTCCCCTTACATAATTTATCATATGTGTTTTCTAAGTCTACCCAGACTGCTAGTGTGTGTTTTTTTTCCTCTAGAGCTACATGTGTTATTTGGGCTTCAGTGGATCTGTACTTCTTAAATCCTGCTTGTTGTCAAGTTAGTAGGTGCTTGTCTTCTAGATGCTCCATTAATCTTGTTATTTATAATGTGTTTCCTCAATTTTCCTACACAGCTATTTAGGCTGATTTGTCGATAGGCATTTAGTTCTACCGGATCTTTTCCTTTTCTTCTGGACTGGTATTAGATTCCTTCCATGCCTGAGGGACTATTCCTCTCTTCCAGCTGCAGTTAAAGACTGCTAGTAATCGCTTTTTCAGTCCTATTATTATTTCATTTGTGATTTCATCCTGCACTGATTTCTTCTTTTTCAGGGAACTCACTGCCAGCTCCAGCTCTTCCATAATCAGATTTTCCATCATAAAATTCTGATTTCTGTGTTATTTTGACATGTCCATTGCTCTTTGTGTTCTGTTGTGATATAAATGTGGTTTTCACTAGCAGAGTATTCCATTAGTGTATTTGCAACCTTTTTTCCTGTGAGAATGTTGTTACCTTGTATAATAATTATTTGTCTGTTACCGTCACTGTTTATGGCTTTTACAAATTTCCACAATTTATTTCCATCTTTGTCCAAGTTCAGGCTTTCTGTTTTTTCTTTCCAAGTATTTCTAGTTGTCTGATTTCATGATTTTTTAAAATTTTTGCTGAGATGGCTTTCAGTGAAATGTTTGCTTCAGTTGTATGTTCTTTCTCTGCTGTCTTCCTGGCCTCTTTGACTTTTATCTCCAGAATATGTAGTTCTTTGTTCAAGTAGGGTTTGTAATTTTCCTCACACCTTGAAATTCACTCATATGCTGCCTGCAGTAATGCTTTGTTTTAAACTTTCCACTAGTCTTCATGTTGCCATATTGTATGTTGATGATTTTACAGTGAGCAAATCAAATTTATCCCAATCAGTTTGTTTGTATTTCCAACAAGAAAATGGTTTCTGCTCCTGTGGGATATAATCTATGTATACAACAACTTTTACTGGTTTGTGATCTAGTACACTGTGATCAGTTTTGTGAAGAATGTCTCCTCTTCAAAAGGCCAAGTCAGGAGTGGAAGATTGACATAATCTTCTAGAGTAGAAACTGGGTTTGTCTTTTGGTTGGTTGATCAAATGATGATTGGAGTTTATATTTCCCAGTCCTCCACTTCATTTCATCTGGTGTCAGTTTTTAGGTATGCCCATCTTTCTGAGTGGCTTTTAAAGTCTCCAACTACAGTGCACTTTGTGTCATTTATTTTCATTATTGAAAGTGCAAGATCTTCATTTGCTGGGCTATATAAATTGTACATTCTGATCTTTTCCTCATTTATCATAACAGACTCTCCAAGTAGGAGTCATAAGGTAAAGTGAAGGTTTTAAGCAGCAAGGTTATGTGAAGTCATAGCAGTCAGGTGATGGGTAAATAGTCACAAGCTGTCAAACATTTTTCAAAGGTGGTTACCACTTTAGCTGTGCTAGGCAGAGAAGGTCCCAACAGAAATACAATAGCTAGGTCAACCAACCATTTTGGGCACTGCACCACCTACTAGGGATATATATATATATATACATACACACATTGTTCTCAAATAGGCCTTAAAATTAGGTAGGTACTGTTATTTTTCAGTTGCTTGTGATATGGAAAAGATAGTAAGCAGCATTCCTACACCAAAAGTTTAAACCTCCAGGTGATAAAAAAAGCTGAATAACACAGCAATAGGTCAGCAGAATTGCATTTTGGACGTACACTGATGAAAATAAAAACTATAAGAATTTGGAGTCTCAGCAGGATGTTTGTACAAATTAACTAACAAATGTGTGCACAAGAGGAAAAGGTGAAATGGCTGTAATTAGAGACTGGTGTACTGAACTGAGTATAATAATTTTTTTGAGTTTTTACTGGAAAATGTCTGTTAATTTTTAAGGTGAACCTTATTCAAGAGATTTCTCATACACTGGCAAATATACTACATGAAGTGTAACTGCTACGGATCTGACTGATGAAAAGTAATAAGAAGAAACAAGGAAAGAAGCAGTGAAGAAGCAACAAAAACATTAATAGCAAAACAGAAGTATTGCATCCAGATTTATAAGCCAACACTTTATGCCAACCTCATCTTGAACATTTTCTTGAACTGATTGTTCTGGGTTGACAGAATATGTTTCATTTCCGCTGGCTCTGGTTTCCTGGCTGTTCTCAAAGCCTGACAATGACTGATCATCTACAGGATTTATATTATTATCTGATTCCCAGATTGTAGTTGCAACCATCATGTACTTTGCTGCAAATGGCTGGTGCTCGATAGAATGAGTATACATTTCTAGTGAATTCATCACAGCTTCCGGATTTTCTCTTTGTTCCTTCTTTCTGCAAGAAAGTAAACATTCATTTCAAAGTTATTCTATGATGTAACAATCTCTAAATTTCAAATGAATCTGCACTTTCAGTCTTAACTCAAACATTATACTTTTCTGTCCCAGTCTGATCCCTATCTTTCAACCTATCTGTCCATTCTATGTTCTCTCCTAGTCTGATCCCTATCTTTCAACCTATATTCTCTCCCAGTCTGATCCCTAACATTTAACCTATCTGTCCATTTTATGTTTCCTCCCAGTCTGATCCCTAACCTTCAACATACATGTCCATTTTATGTTCTCTGTAGTCTGATGCTTATAGTTTAACCTATATGCTCTCCCAGTCTGATCCCTACAGACCAGTCTATCGGCCTTCCCAGTCTAATTCCTACAGTTCAACTTACTGGCTCTCACAGGCTGATTTCTCAAGTTTAATGTATCTGCTCTTCCCCTCTAATTACTAGTTTTAGGTTATCGGCTCTCCCAGTCTAATCTCTACAGTTTAATGTATCTGCACTTCCAGTCTAATTTCTACAGTTTTAGGTTATTGGCTCTCCCAGTCTAATCTCTACAGTTTTTTTTATAAAGGCTTTAAAAATTGTATTTAATATGCACAGCACCTTCAAAATAGTATCTTATTCTCAACCATCTCTCTTTCTCAGGATATCCTTGTTGATATAGTCTTTCAATTTGCAATGATAAACCTATTTCGTTTACTGCCAACCGATTCACTTAACATGACCTTGGAACCTTGCCTAACGTATGTAATTTAGTTGGCTAATAAGAACTTTCACAATGTCAGTTGTGAATGTATATTTACATCATTACTAATATTTGTGCAAACTCTCAAAAAGGGAGCCACAGTAGAGCAGTGGCTAGATGGCTGCACTGAGTTTAAAAAATCTACTGATGTTTACAATTGACCTAGGATTTCCTTGTTGACACAACCTAAAAAAGGTACAAGGAAATGTTCCAGGAAGTAAAAGAAGCAGTCGTGATGTCGACCACATCCCCCAGGAATGCCAAGTTACTTTCAGAATCTAGGTCTAGCACCAAATTTCCAATGAACCAATGGAATTAACCCTACCACACCACTGTCAACATTTTTCGGGAATTTTCCAACCTGCTGCTATACCGCTGCCCCAATTTTTTGTGACAAAACGTGTCACAAACTAAAAATAACCAACTAATCATGATCAAACCCCATGGTTAGTCATTGCAAATGGCTGCCCGTGTGTTTTTGGGTTTACTTTGTGTGGTTTCACGTGACAAAATGCTGAAAATTCACAATAAAACGAGCGGCTGATGAACCAAGCACTTCGACAGGAAAGTTAAGTAGGTCTAGGCTTTTCAGTCCAACAGGTGATTGATACTTTGGTTGTTTTAGACTCTAAGGAGACATAATTTCATGAAGAATACGCTCCCAGTTGAAGTGACATAGTCAGTGAGAGCTCGAGTGATGAGGAGAATCTTGAAAATTATAAATCTAGAACTAGATCAAAAGTGAGAGTGCGTGTCCCTCAGACAGCAACATCTGGTGCTCACTTTGTGAAACAAGGCTGATCCTGCTGGGTGGATTGGCACACAAAGGAGGAATGTTGGCACTAGATTAAAGGTAGGCATGTTATCTAAATTGTCTCCAAGTTTCATCTTAATCTAACCACTTGTTTGCATGTAACTAAAATTTGTATATATAATGTTGGTTTTTTTGCTTTAATGCCCAAGAGCCAGGTATAGGGAACAGTTAGGTTCAGGGCTTGAGATTTAAAAGATGGCTGTAATTTATTTATATCTTTACTCTAGGAGAACTGTGAAGCGAACAGTGACTACGAGATTTGTCTGACGCTCAACATTTAGGGGATAGACAAGATGAACATACAATCAGTCTGTTACTTGTATCATCAGCCCTGAGTGCTATGATTTCAGTTTTTCAACTCGAATCTCATTATTTTAACAGAACTATTTTAAATGATTTTTAGTAATCTAAAATGTCTATTTACAGTTTGATAGAGCCATTAGTTACTATCCCCAAGTCTCAAGGAACTGAGCTATGTAACACAAATAAGGCAAACAAGATACTTACGAGATATCTGAATTCTGTAGCAGCCTCTCCCAAGCCTGTGGCAGGCCAACAAATTCTCCTTTCTCTTTATCAAAACCAACATGACAATGTTTTTTCACATTAAATGGTTCACCAATTGACAATGGAGCATTATCATCTCTGGAAGCAGAATCAGGGTTTGAAGTTTAGGTCTTAAGTTTGAAGAAATGTTTGATATTCTGCATCTTGAAACTGGGACTATTGTCAGATCTTTAGGGAAATAACTTCAAATAACTGCAAGAAAACCATGTTATAAGCATTTACAATTAAAATTATATTCCAGGATACATAAACATTACAATTTAATGCATACCAACTGCTATAATATTGTGTTACACATAGGACGGATCACTGCTATTTAGAGAGAATGGTGCCGCAGGCAGTGACCAGGGGATCTTACCAACACTCAACGGAAAGGCAGGATGGTTATAATTAAACTGCTACTGGTACCACCACAATAGAAGCTGCTGAAGAAGGTACAGAGTGCTTATGGGAATACCCCAAGTGCTGCGATGTTAAAAATAAAAAAAATCTTTACTGCCTATAGTGACCAACTGTTAGTGCGGTGTAGGATAGAGGGGCCTTGAGCCTGAGGGTTTAGGTGCCATGGGTAGTGCTGCCACCACAAACTGTTAATGGCAGGGTTTTATTTTTGCCCCAGACACACATATAAATCCATTAGCTTACTGAAGATTCAAACGTGGGTCCTCCATATGAGAGCCCAGCGCTCTTAACTACAATGTCCTAATTTAGCCTTGTACTCTTGTAGCTTTGTTAAAACATAAGTTACAGTACAAATGAATAATATGTTTACTTTACTCCCTGCTTATTTGTAAACAACTGTCATTTTAATTACTGTGACTCATCTGACTGTAAATGTTTGTTGTTATTGATATTTTCTATCAATCTTAATTAATAAAAAGTGTCCTCTCCAATATTTCCCTTTATACTCTCCTGTTTTGGTTGTATTCTTTGACAGACTTGTTTGTCCACCTCTTGATGTTATCCCCATACATGGGTGTATTCATATCGCTGTCTACCTTTTGCTTGCCTTCTTAAATCTTTTACTCCAGTATGGTTTTTATAAAATTGTTTTGTCTTTTAATGTGGCCAAAATATTTCCATTTTTATTTTCAATCACAAAAGTACCATAGAATGTACAGAATACAATGTAGATCTTCATGCTTGTTTCATTGATTATAGCAAGGCATTTGACTGTGTTCGACATCAGAAACTGGACTATTATCAGAACTATGGGGTTTACAGCGCATTTAATTGAAAATCTTTATCATGAACAACAAGCAGCCATCAGAGCAGTTAGTGAAACATCGGATTGGTTCGAGGTGCATTCTCTCACCATATCTTTTTAATATATACGCAGAAAATATAATGAGAAATGTCACAAAAATAACCTGACTTGTGACAGTAATGATCCGCTTAAAATGGGTGGGAACCCTATTCCGGAACTTCCCTATGCAGATGACAGTCCTCCTTTCGAACAGCGTAAAGGGAAATGGAAAATTTAATATTGTCTGTCCAAAGGCACAGTGAAGATCAAAATCTGTTCTTAAATTTAAAGAAAATTAAAATAATGACCACAGATAAAACTGGCTGTCACACAAAAATAACAAAAAATAATAAAGAAATTGAAAAAGTAACAAACTTTGAAAATCTAAGCTCTATAATAAATAGCAATGGAGACTGTTTGACAGAAATTAAGTCTTTGGTTAAGCACCAGCAAGGAGATCAAAATTATAATTCTGACAGCATACATCTTCCCTGTAGCTGAAATTTTGAGCTGAAATGCTATAGAAAAGAGATTACAATATCACGCGGCGTGGGCGACACTCTCGGCGGTGGCGATAAATAATCGTCAGAAAACCGCAATTAGATCGCTGGAAGTGCGCAATTGACACGTGACTGAGGCTCTGTGGTAGGGTATTTTTGCAGCCGCCATATTTTGTGCCCGTTATTCAGAGGATAGCCAAAATGTGTAGTGTAACAGACAAATTAAAATTTTAAAGTTTATTAAAAGTTAAATTAGCCTAATTTTTAGGTATCATGAGAATTTGAAAATTAGTCTCTAAACGTTTTTACAGAATGTTTTTTTAATGTTGTTCGTCTATCACGAATGATTAAAAACCCCTTTTCATCCAACGTATTAATTATGATCAATGATTAGAGTACAAAGATGGCTGGCTAGCTCAATGTGAGCCTGGAAAGTTCGCGAGCAGTGCCGTGAGTGCCAACAGGTGGAAGCCGCAGGAGTAAGTTGTGAATGAAAAAGTGACTTGCGCAAGGACTTGGATTTCATTTATCATTTAAAGTGAGGAAGAGTTGCGCATTTCGTCGACCTAACTCTCTCGCCTGTGTCCTTCTTGATCAAATGGCAGGACAATGAGACAATCAATGACGAGACGATTGGAAATTAAATGGACCTAGGCGTATAGTATAGTATATCAATAATAATATAATTTTTATTAATAAATTAATTATCTAATATTTATATACCTTAACTAAACATATAGTATATAATACACTTCACTACACGTCTACAGAAAAGAA